ATGATAATTTAGTACAATTCCTTCATTTTATAGATGAGGAAACTGAGGCCCAAAGAAGTTAAATGACATTGCCCGAGGTCATAACATTAGTCAGTGACAGAGCCAGGATTAAACTCAAGTCTTCCTAACATGTAATCCAGGATTTGCCCTACTAAAATATGTCAAAGATTACTTAGAATAGTCTTATTTCCCAAATAGTTAATTTGGTTTTAGAAATTAACTCACTTGGGATTTTCTCATTTCCATGCCCAATCATTACAGAGTGCAATAAATGAAACATAAGGGCATCAAGAAGAAGAAGTTATATTGTCTTACTGGCTTTCATTAAGATATCCTGAAGGTCCTATTAAGATGTATGAAAGGCTTGGCTAAGGCTGTGGAAGTAGGAAAAGAGAGGAAGAAACACTTGTCTTTGTAGGCATTTTATGTATTCTTAATGAGACTTTTTGTAACATTTTCTTAGGATTACCATATCTGGCCTAATATAGTCACACAGCTCCCACTCACTAAGAGCCTATGATATAGAGGAGAGAGTTACACAAGACTAAAAGAATGGAGGAAATCAAGGGCCAACATAAATATTTGTTAAGCCATAGTTTGTTGAGTACTGACTTCTGATTTAGTCTTCCCCTTATCTTTCAGGAAAGATTGTCGTGATTAAGCCTAAAAATCTGAAAATCTATCCTACAGCTCCTTCTGTCTCCTCCTACCCCCTCCTAATCAACTGATCAGAAATTGCACCAATATCTGGTAAAAATGTAATTCTTCTGCACCCAGCACAGATCACATCCTTCAGGTACATTCTAAAAGTAATCAATAAAAAGACAAATATGCTACATTTCTAGGTAAACTATAAATTCCATAAAAGGAGCTTCTCTTGCATTTTTTTTTGAGGTCAAGTGTTCCTCAGGCTACTTCACCATGTCATTCACCATGATGATATCACAAAACTCACTTTAGACACACCAGAAGCTTGAACTTCTGAATATCAAGGGACTTAAGTATTTTTATCATAAAATAAATTTTTAAAATTAGATTCTGTGAAGCCTGGGGTTCTGCACCACCGATGAGGTAGCACTCATACCATCACAAGATTTAGAGCTGGAAGGTCTTTCAGTTATCTAGTTTTAACTACCTCATTTTTACAGATGACTAAAGAGAGAGCCAAAATTTGCTCATGAGGTAATAACAGTCAGAATTCTGACCCAGGTCAGCTTAATACAAATCCAATGCTCGGTCTACTATACCATTCTGCACGCACTGTGGGGAATTATGAAAGATGGAGAATATAATCCCCGCCTTCGAGGAGGTGATAGTGGCATTTCAGAAGACAAAATACAACGTTTGGAGAACACTTTCAAACACACTGCTAAAGGCAAAATAAAGTGAGGCAGCACAGAAAGAAGACTGGGAATCAGGAAATCAGGTTTCTCAAGGCTGTGTCACTAACAGCTTGCACGACCTTTGGCAAATCACTTCATCTCTCAATATCCCCAGGGTAAATGAGGTATGAAGTAAACTGACCTCAAAGACAGGTTCAAGCTCTAAATATTCTAATGATTTGAGGTATCTAGACGTTCTCTTTGGTTCCTAACTGGTAATTTTCATGGTCCTAAGGTGGTAGAAAACGAACAATGCGACCAATTTCCCAACTTTCAAAAGGCAGTCTCTTTAAAAACACAAACACAAAACTAGCATGTATGTAATGGAGTTTCAAGGTTTGCAAAGCAATTTGCACATTATCTCATTTGATATTTTCTTTTGTCCCACCAACGGGCTCCTGTTCCAACATCTCAGAGCCCGTTCAGGGGGTCAGTCCACCTCTTGGGTCTCACTTTATTCGCATCCAGAGTGTTTAGCAAACGTTGTTGTTCAGTCGTGTCCTATTCCACGGACTTTGTCCAAGGGGTTTTCCTGGCAAAGATACTGTAATGGTTTGCCATTTTCTTCTTTCCTTCTCCAGTGTTGTCCCCATTTTTACACATTAGGAACTGAGGCAAATAGGGGTTAACTGACTCGCCCAAGGTCACACGAGCCCTTGGCAAACAGGTGTTTAACAACTGCTTATTTGATTGACTGACAGAGAGCTTAACTTGGGAGTCACATCAACCCAAGGCAAAAGTCAGGCCAGGCTACCTGCGTGACCTTGGCCAAGTCATTCCTTCTCTGGGCCCCCGCTTCCGCATCTATGAAAGGGGGAGATTGGGCTCCAGGACTTCCCACTCCGGACCTAGGAGCTCGTGATCTCTCGCCCAGGGTCCGCCGCTGTGCCCGGACCACGCAGCCCGCCACCCCCACACCGGCCTGGGAGCTGGTCAGGCTCCCGGCAGCCCCGCGAGGGCGGGAGTGCGTGTGTGCGTGTGTGTGTGTATGTGTGTGTGTGTGTGTGTGTGTGTGTGTGTGTGTGCGCACGTCTCCCTCACCCCCGCCCACAGAGAGCGGACCGTTTTCTCATCCCATAGCCTGCCCAGTCACAGAAGTGCTGGCGGAGCCAACCCACCGAGCCCCGCCAGCGCCACCTCCGCGGGGACCGGAAGCTGTTGTGCCAGGACTCGCGAGCCTCCAGGTCCGAAGTCGGAACGCGCGCCCGCCGGAAGCTGCCCTTCCCGAGCCTCTGCGGCTGCGCAGGCGCATGAGAGAGAGAGAGAGAGACAGAGAGAGAGAGAGAGAAGGGGGGAGGAGCCCAGGGGAACCAGGTCGGGGGGGAGTGGCGGCCGGTGGTGGTGATGGTGGGGGGGGGGCGCCCCGGCCGGGAAAGATGGCGGAAGCTGGGGTGAGTTATTGGGGGCGGGGAGGGGCGGGGGGAGGTTCTGGCGGCGGCACCGGGAGCTGAAGGGATCGGCCTGAGGAGAGAAGCGGCCCTTGCCACGGGACCCCCCTGCCTATGCGTCGGCTCGTGGGAGGCCCCGGCGGCTCCAGGGGCTGGGCATTGGCGGGGAGCCCCGCGCAGTGGCGGCCGGGGCCTGGAGAGGAGGGGGGAGCTCGGGGTCCTGGCCGGGAGGAGGGAGGAGGGGGCCTGCGTCTGCCAGATGGCGGGATCCGGGAGGCTGCGAGCTCCGGGACGTTGGCTGGGGTCTGTGGGAGATGAGGTTGCGGGGCAGGCGGAGGTCGAGCTGCTGGGGCGGATGCGCGCAGGTAGCGTCTGTCCTGGGGTGGCCATGGCGACCCTGCAGGCTCCAGAAATCGGTGGGGACGGGGGTGGGATAACCTGCTGTGCAGAGCCCAAGGGCAGCTCCCGCTTGGGTCCACGAAGTTGGATGTTGGTAACTGGCAGGGGGTCTTTGAGCCTTGGGAATTGACATGCTTTGGTAGTTACTGTGTTGGTTGCAACTGTCCAGGAAGTGTTGAAACTTAGTGCTGGGAAACAGAAGTTTTTCCAATCAAGTTTAGGAAACCGTAAAATGGTCTAGGTGGTTACCTCTTTTTTTTTTTTAAGAGCTCTTTCTGAGGTGTATCTCTTCTGCATTGCTACAAAGGGGAGGGTTGGAGTAGGGATTCCTGTAAATTCCTCGGCTGCTGAAGTTTGTTTAGGAAAAAATTGGATTCGGAATGGCCAAGAAAAATGTACTGTTTTATTGTTTGTTTTGAGAGAGAGAAATAGGTGAAGGAGTAATTAGATTATTTCAGTCTTTTTGGTTTGGCTGATAAACCATTGGGCAAAAAAATGGAGGAGAGGAGAGTGGTGGGAATCAGAGAGAGGAAAAATCAGATATTAACTCATTTCCTCTCCCTTCATTTTTTCCTCTATCCTTTTCTTGGAAATTTTTTTCGTAGCATTTTCTGTCAAAGTTGTTTATAGAGCACTTCTAGAGTAAAGTGTCTGGATCATGACTCATGTCTATTTGGAAAGAGGGAGATTTCCAGAATGTGATAGCTGTAGCTTTTATAGATATCTTCATTGAACATAAAGGATGTAAAATGTTTTCATTTGAAAAGAAATACTTAACTGTCATGTGAAAACAAATTCCAAATGTTGATGGCATTTGGCATTGAAAAACATTAATGGAATGGGAAAATCTTTTAGCTACTGGTTTCTGAGCGTATCCTAGTGTGCACATTTGCATCTGAGAGGCTGTTAGTAGATTTTAATGTGAAGTGGACCACAGTAAATTTTTTTCCACTAGTTTTATGGTGCATATCTTTTTCCTTACTGTGTTTAGGTTAAAATATTTAACCCTGCTTAGGTACCTTCTGAACTGAATTTGTTTTAATTTAGGAAGAGTTAACCTGATTGGTTTACATACTTGCTGAATTAGTCTAATGATAATGTTGCTATTTTAGGAATACAGTCCTAATTAAGAAAGCATTGCAGTGATTAACCATATGAAAGAGAAGTGATGTAGTAATTTGACTTCATTATTTTTATAGCTTCTCTGTCAGAGGCTTTAATAATACAGGTTATCTTAGGAAATACACATAGAATAGAGTCTTTAGTAATCATTTGAACGAAGACAGTACTATAGTTTGATTTTTGTGATTGGGTATTACAGTCGTTAAGATGGATGTGATTCTTAAAAAGTTATCTTAAAAGTTATCTGTTCTGTGACTTTGCAGTACCTATTTTCATGAAAAGACTTAAGAGCCTTCCTATTCCTGTGATATAAATTACATCATCAATTATAATGGTTGATTACTTCTTACTAATAATACAAGTGTCCCACACTCTTAATAGAGTTGTCAGTTACTACAAAACAATCATACGTTAGCACTAAAAAGAACTTTAATAATCATCTAGCCCTCTCATTTGTACAGCTCAAGAAGTCACAACCACAGAGGTTGTGACTTGACCAAGCTAACATATCTGACTTCTAGTTCAGTTGTGTTTTTTCCCTCCAAGGAGCTTGTCATTAAAACTGTTTAAGAAAAGTTACTCTGGGGGCAGCTAGGTGGCGCAGTGGATAGAGCACGGGCCCTGGATTCAGGAGGACCTGAGTTCAAATGCGGCCTTAGACACATAACACTTACTAGCTGTGTGACCCTGGGCAAGTCACTTAGTCCCATTGCCTAGCCAAAACCAAAGAAAACAAACAAGAAAAGTTACTCTGAAAGGGAAGGTGGTTAAATAGCAAAACTTAACTTACATACAACGTTATGAATGAAAATTTCTCTTATATCTATTCTATCCTATATATGTCTCCCTGTTGTAGAGTACAAAAGACTTTACTTTTCGCTCTGTTTAAGTGACTTTTTAAGAACCCCCAGGAGGCAGCATGGTACAGTGGAAAGAAAATACTGACTCTGGAGTTAGAAGATCTGGGTTCAAATTCTACCTGTGATCCTTATATTTAGCTGGGTAACTTTGGGAATATCATTTCATTTCCCTGGTCCTCAGTTTTCTCACTTGTGGGAAAAAAGCTCTAGATGTACAATCCTATGGATTCCAAAATTAGTTACTATTTATAGTGAATGCTGTGGAAGTAGAACCCAGATCCTGAGACATGAACAGTTACTACCTGTTTGACATTTGGCGTGTTGCTTAACCTTAGTTTCCTCATATGTAAAATCAGGGTGTTAGACTAAGTGGTCATTGAAGGCCCTTCAAACTTGATTTCTGTGATTCTATGGGCCATATTTTATGATTCCATATATAATATCTATTTGTATATGAAATCATACTCTTAATCCACAATCAGTAAATAGATGTGCACTTTGAATTTTTTTTTTTGTAAAAATACTGTTGATACATCAGCATTGATCCACCTAAACTAAACAGTTTCCTTAGTAACCAACAGAGTTTGTTTTTGAGGCTGCTGGCCAGGCTTGATGGTACATTCTTGGCTGTCTGGCAGACTTCTTGTTTTGTTTGTTTGTTTACAAAGTTTGGCCTGTGGACTTCAGTTTCCTTATTTCTGAAATGAGAGGGTTGGGGTTGGGTCTTTAAAATTTCCCATATTAAATTATTTTGACCTTCTGATTAATTATGGAACTTTTATTTTGCTGCTCAGAGAGGTGGTCTCATGTAATTTCCCTGACCTTTTTCAAGCAATTACATGAAACAAATGGATTCTATCAGTTATAAAGATTATATAGATGAACATTCTAAATGCAGCAGGTAAGGCTTATGTAAACTGTAGCAGTAGAATAGAATAAACAATTTTAGGAAGCTAAGAGATTAAAAAGCTCTAAATGAATTCTTAATATGAGATTCATGAACTTGTGATAACTATATTTCAATATAATTGACTTTATGTATTTAAATACATTATTCTGAGAAGGGGTCCAAAGGTTTCACCAGTCTACCAAAGGGGTTCCATGATACAAAAAAGCTTAAGAACACCTAACTGGTGACTGCAGTATCATAGATTAGAGCTAAAAGGACCTTACAGATTGTCTAGTCCAACTCCTTTGTTTAATAGATGAGGAAATTGAGGCACAGTTAGGTTAAGTGAGTTGCCCAAACTCTCAGTGATGAAGCTGGAATTCAAGTTCATGCCCTCTGCACTCTTTCCACAGTACTTTGCTGTTGCTGCTATCAAATCTGACCTTACCTTAAAAATTTACCATTTATGCTGTTGTTTTCTTAAGAATTGCTTAACATAAAACATGTTTCCATTATTAGAGATGTGCACACAGAAAATCATTGAGGTGTTAGATCACTTTGAGTTTCTCAGATAGTGTTCTCTTGTTAGAGCAGAGGGCAAAAAAACTTCCTGGTAACCTCTCAAAGGTACTGACAGTATTCCAAATATATATTATGTCCTCGATTTTTTTTTCAAGCTTTAGAATGTCAGTTTACCCTAAAAGATTGAACACACACATACATACATACATGCATATGTACTTATCAACTATATTAGTTTGAACATGGATCGTGCTTTCCCTCCTTAAATCTGGAGGGAATAAAACCTATATGTAGTCTGTAATTAGTGTTATTTTTCAGTATACATACGTATTTTTTCCTTTCCAAGAGATTTCATTTTAGGAATACGGCCTTAGACACATAACACTTACTAGCTGTGTGACCCTGGGCAAATCGCTTAGTCCCATTGCCTAGCCAAAACCAAACAAAAACAAACAAGAAAAGTTACTCTGAAAGGGGAAGGTGGTTAAATAGCAAAACTTAACTTACATACAACGTTATGAATGAAAATTTCTCTTATCATGTCTATTCTATCCTATATATGTCTCCCTGTTGTAGAGTACAAAAGACTTTACTTTTCGCTCTGTTTAAGTATGGATTAACTAGCTGGTATTGCTATCTAACCATACATACACACACACAACCATATATGTTATATATATGGTATATACACATGGTATAATACATAACATTTCTATTGGGAAATGCGATCAGACTTCCAAACTGCTAACTAAAAAATTAAATTTTAGAACAGTCCTATTCATAAGTTGGGACTGGGTATTGTCTTGCAAGCATGTCTATACTCTTTGTAGAACTCCAGTACTATATTTTTTTCAAAAGCAAGAAAGGCCGTATTATAACTTGAAAGTGTTGCATGTAGCTACACTGATACTGGTCTTTGAAAGGCAGTTGCATTGTTCTCCTGTAGGAAAATGCTATGGGAGTTCCACAGAAGCTTCTCAGACAGCTTTTTGGATCGTATTTGAAAGTTAGTCCATTAGTTTCCTTTCAGATAACTAGTGAAAAAGACAAACAACTTGTCACCTGATACTGTTGAAAAAACCTTTATTATAGTTCAGTCTATAATGTGCTGATTTTGTTTCTTTTGAGACTGTTCTAAAATGTGTTGCATAGGGGCAGCTAGATGGCGCAGTGGACAGAGCACCGGCCCTGAAGTCAGGAGGACCTGAATTCAAATGTGGCCTCAGACCAAACACTTGACGCTTACTAGCTGTGTGACCTTGGGCAGGTCACTTAACAACAGTTGCCTAAAAAAAAAATGTGTTGCATATGCTTCATCTGTCCCACAAAATCACCTCTAGTGGTTGATAAACTTGAATGAAAAGAATTAGGGAAAATACTTTATCATTTGATTTAGACAGTTTCTTTTTAAGATATTTAGACATGGACTTTTATTTTCATTTGAATTTGTATTTTGCAATAGGAATTGAAATCTGGCCAGTCTGAGAATTTCTTCAGTTAAGGTCTGAAGAGGATAAAATTAAGCATTACTAGTTTGCCATAACTCCAGATGTCATTTGCTTATGTATCTTAGTTATTTAAACATTGACTCATGCAAGAGAAAATGATTGAATAAAAAGGTTTTATTCTTTTATTAATGGAAAAACTAACACCCTAGGACCTTATTCTAAAGACCCTCTTGTTTATTCTTGGAGTCCATGCTGATGAGGTCCTGTATATATATATATCAGTAACTAAGGTTAGCCTGTACTTTACAGAATTCATTTGTGTTCTCTAAATCATTAGCTACCACAGAAAATCAGACAATGCAACTTGAAGACAGACCTTTTTCTTTTGATAGAAAAAATATTTTTTTTTCACACCTTAATAGGTTGTTATACCTGAGCAGATCAACTTGTGTTATAAAAAGGAACCAAATGGCAGTCTTATCTTAGAATGTACTAACTTCTCACAACCAGCAATCTATGTAACTAAGGGGAAATGAAAGAATTAGAAATGATGGACTCTGGCCCAAAGGAGTTTATAGAAGTTTGACATTCATTTCTCTCCATTGTTCATTCTAACCCTTTATAAAATTCTCCAGTGTTATAATTTTCTCACTGTTTTTTTTCCTCAACAAACAAGCTATAACAATATTTTTTTAAGTTAAATTTCATTTCAGGCAACTAGGTGGTACAATGACTAGTGTGCTGGACCTGGAGTCAGGTAGACCCATCTTTCTGAGTTCAAATCTGGCCTCAGACACTTAACTAGCTGTGTAACCCTGGGCAAGTCACTTAACTCTGTTTGCTTCAGTTCCTTATCTTTAAATGATCTGGAGAGGGAAATGGCTAACTACTGCAGTATCTCTGCCAAGAAACCCCAAATGGGGTCATGAAGATTTGAAAAGATTCAGACACCACTAAAATAACTGAACAACAATTTTTCATTATCATTTACATTGTATCTTTTAAAATTAACTTTCTTCAGTAGATAACTGTACTATTTATGTGAGTTGGGATCCGGTATTTTATAATTTAATCTCTTCAGTAAGTAATTTTGAATTCACCAAAAAGTTGAACACTTATTCATGCTGATTTTTTCACCTTTATCTTTTTTTTTTTGCAGGATTTTTGGTAGATTCTAATTTAGGACAAGATGAAGGACTGATGAAAAGTCTATTATCTACTGTGATTGTTAGAAGTTATTGAACTTATGAAACTATGGCAGAGAGAGAGACAGCATCATCTGTGCCCCCAAAGTGTGGGCCATACATTTCTTCTGTCACTAGTCGGAGTATGAACTTGGTGATTCGTGGAGTAGTTCTGTTTTTGATTGGAGTGTTTCTTGCATTAGTATTAAATCTACTTCAGATTCAGAGAAATGTCACACTCTTTCCGCCTGATGTGATTGCAAGCATTTTTTCTTCGGCATGGTGGGTACCACCATGCTGTGGCACAGCTTCAGGTAGGTATAGAAGTTATCTTTAATGCTTAGCATGGAATTAAAATAAATGAGAATGGTGTGCTCAGAACAAATAATATTTTCCCTTTTTGATTCTAGATTTGATGTCAGTTCTCCTAGTGTCATGAGTAACTTAAGCTTTCGGTTTCACTTTTCCTTTAAAATGGATATTGTGACATCTGTTTCATGGGGGTTATTTTGAAGATGCATGTCATTGTTTAATTTTTTTGATTGGCTTTTTGCATATGCTAATCTGGTCTTTTGCTTTTGAAGTAAAGCAAGGTTAAAGCAAGGTATTGAGATTTTAAAAATAAATTGAAAAGTTTTGTTGACATTTGAAACCTGATTATGTTATATTTAAAGTTTGTGCACAAAAGTCTTCCCCCTCAGGTGTATTGTTTCTAATAACATTGGAGTTATAATAGCTTAAAAGGAATAAATGCTTGAATAAATAAGGAAAGTAGCTCATGTCTTTCTTTTTATTAGGTGACTATCTTTACTAACTGGCTTCTTTAGCATCAGCTTATTTGGTGTTGAGTTTTTATTAAGAATAGGTTTTGGGGGGCAGCTAGGTGGTGCAGTGGATAGAGCACTGGCCCTGGATTCAGGAGGACCTGAGTTCAAATCCAGTCTCAGACACATAACACTAGCTGTGTGACCCTGGGCAAGTCACTTAACCCCATTGCCTAGCCAAAAAAAAAAAAAGAATAGGTTTTGGGCTTTTAATTTAACCTTTTTGAATTATTGAAGATTCTTATTGAATCATGCCTTCTGTAAATCTAGTTGAAGAGAATTTAGGAGAAAATTGTCAGACTCTTTAAATATGTCTATTTTAATTCTTCTGGTATATGTAAAATAAACTGAAATCTTTCAATGCAATATGGAGACTCATATTTCATTCAGTGCAAACCAGTTATTAAAAGTGCCAGAAATACGTCATTATAAAATGGAATCAACTGTGTCACAGACTTGTTGCATGCATCCCAGGAAAAATGTTCTGGCAAGATTGTAGTACATTACAAAATTTACTTTAAAGTGAAGCTTTCTTGAATGCTATTCCAAAGGATATAGTTGCTGAAGAACCCAGGGAGTGTTAAAGCAAGTCTCTGATGTATTTATAAGCCTATATTATCTCTAAGCTGCCTGTCTAATATCTTTTTTCCCCCTCTTTAGGCTCAGTAGCTGTTATTGCTGTGGTACTGTCTTGTAGTCCCTGCTTATATCTCCATGTGTCTGATTCCTACTTAGACATTTCTTAAATTTAAGTTCCAAATTTTTGACTCTAACTCACCAAGGGAACAGATTGAATTCCAACCTGTTTTGTTTCTGTTTTCTAGTAGTGACTAGAAAGAACAAAGAATGTTGCTTAGGCCCAGAGAAGCATTTGCTGGCAGCCATGGTTGCTTTGTTCTTTGCAAGATAAATCAAGGTTTAAATTAAAGGGTTGCCAGCTGCTTGCTTCTGCCTGTGGTTTGGAAAGGGGAAGAGTGAATAAGTATTCACTGCTTCTGTCCTACACAGATCTAGGGCCAAGCTTGACCAGTACTGGACTGTGGTTAGTGCCTCTATGCTGGACATACGAACATTTGTCCAGTGTAACTTTTTAAAAAAATTATTGATTTTTTTTTTCTTATTTACATCTGTCATTTTCTAATACCTCCTCTCATCCCCACATGGACTCTTTCCTTCTAACAAACATATGTAGCCAAGCCAAACTGACTTATCAGCCATGTCTGATAAGGTATGCAACGTTCGGTTTCCAATGTACTCTATGAAGAAATGTTGGATCAGTGAGCTGAGGTAGCACTGACTCTATGGTACTTTTTCCCTGTAAAAGAGGTATTAAGTCTTAAACCTGAAAAAAAAGGAATTTATTTTTAAAATTGATCTTTTAAAAATCAACTTTATTTCCAAATCTGTCTCACTTCTGTCTTCCTGTGTAGGAGAGATATGTCTCATTACATGTCATAAAGAGAAAGAAAAAAAAAAAAGAAAAAATAGTACAACAAAGTAACCAGCATATCAGACATCCCACGATCAATATACACCTTGCCTCTGCAAAGAAGGGAGGGAGGGATACTTTTTCATATCTTCTCTGGAGCTAAGTTTGATCATTTTAATTACATAGCATTCAGCAGTTTTTAAAATTCCCTCAATTTACATTATTGTTGTCGTGTACATTGTTTTCTAGGCTCTGCTTACTAGAGAGGTATTGTGGTATAGTAGCAAGAGTGCTGGATTTGGAGTTAGGAAGCACTGTCTCTGACACAAGCCGTGTGAGCCTTACCAGGTCCTGTAACCTTTCTAAGCCTCAGTTTCCCTGGGTCTGAAATTATGACTATAATAGCATCTACATTACAGGGCTGTTAAGATAGTCAAATGAAATAATGTATATAAAGGGCTTTGCAACTTTAAAATGCTCTATAAATGTTAGCTAATATTAGTATTAGTTATTACTTTACTCTATATCCATTCATATAAATTCTGAAAATAAAATATTAAATGTGAACATTGCCTTTCATTCATTTTGCAGTTTTTTCCCCTTTTCCTTTGACTAGCCTTTTACAAACCAGTTGATATACATAACCTGTGACAACTTCACACTGGGGAAGTTATTGCAGTTCCAGGAAGCATCTGGGACAAAGAAGGGGAGTAGAGTTAGGAAATCTAGATTCCAGTTAATTTTTTTCTTTTAAAAATATATTTATATGTGATATATTTATATATAAATGTATATATTTCTCCCTCTTATCAGTAAAAGTTTGTCTTCTCTCCTATCTACATCATCCTTCTCCATCCCATTGAGAACAAAAGAAAAACAACCCCTGTTGTAAACAAGTATAGTCAAGCAAGACAGATTTCTGCATTGGCAATGTACAAAAAAATATGTCTCATTCTGCATCCTTCACCTCTCTCTAAGGAGGTGAATAGCATGTTTCATCATTAGTCCTTTGGAATTGTGGTTCATCATAGCACTTATTAGAATTCCTAAAGTCTTTCAGAATTGATCGTCTGTACGGTGGTAGCGTCATTGTACTAGTTCTTCTGATTCTGTTCATTTCATTCTGCATCAGTTCATACAAGTCTTTCTAAGTTTCTCTGAAACCATCCTCTTCGTTATTTCTAACAATGCAATATTATTCAATCATGTTTGTATACCATAACTTTTTCATCCATTTTCCAATTTATGGATACTTCCCCAGATTCTCCTTTGTGACCTCAGAAAAGAGCCACAAATGTTTTTGCATGACCTTAGAGTTTTATTTTGCTTAGGATTAATCCCTACTTTAACCTACCTTCCCTTTATTTCCTCCCCATCTTCCATTTCTCTTCTGTTTCCCTGTTGAGTGAAATGTTTTTCTGTATCCAAACTATGTGTGTGAATATATTCTTCCCTCTGACCAATTCAGATAAAAGTCAGATTGAAGTGTTACTGCCCCCTCTACTCCCTTGCTTGTATAGATCTCTATTTGCATACTCTGATTATGTGAGGTAATTTTCTCTAACCTTCCTTTCCCTCTTAGTCTATTCCTTTCCCCCTCTCTTTCCATTCTCTTAAGATCAAGATACAGCAGAATTATCCTCAGGGGTCTTATTTAATTGGACTCCCTCTGTGACCCCTGATGATGATAGGGTTCAGAGGAACACATATCAACTTCCCATCTAAGAATGTAACCAGTTTATTCATGTTTAGTCTCTTAAAGTTGTTCTGTTATATTTACCTATTATGATTCTCTAAACTTCTTTGTTTGAATTTCAGTTAATTTACAGCTCTGGTCTTTTAATCAGGAATGCTTGGAAGTCCTCTATTTCACCAAAGATCTTTTTTTTCCCATGTAGGAGTATACTCTGTTTACTTGGGTAAATTATTTTTGACTGAAAGCCAGTAGCCTTTGCCTTCTGGAATATCATTTTCCAAGCTCTTTGCTCCTTGCTAGTGAAAACTGTTTAATTGTGTGTGATCCTGACTGTGGCTCCTCAGTACTTGAATTTTTACTTTCTGGCTGTTTGCAGTATTTTTCCTTTGACCTGGAAGCTCTAAATTTGGGCTATATAAAGTTTTTGGGAGTTTTTATTTTAGGTTTCTTTCAGGAGGTGATTGGTGGATCTAAGAGATCTGGGTAGTTTTCTTTGAAAATTTCTTTAAATATTGTATCTAGGCTCTCTCTTTTTTAATCATGCAATTCAGGTAGTCCAATGAATTAAATTTCTTTCCTCAATCTGTCATCCAGGTCAGTTGTTTTGCTTATTATACCTTAGATTTTCTTTCTTTTTTTTTCCAGTCTTTTGACTTTGTTTTAATATTTTTTGCTGTCTCTTGGAGTCATTGACTTTGGTATAGTAGATTCTGATTTTCAGGGAGTATCCTATTTGGCCAAGATTTAGTACCTCTTATGCTAAGCTGTTAATTCACTTTCTAATTCTTTCTTCCGTAGCTCTCATCTCTCTTCCAATTTTTTTCCTTTAGCAATCACGTTTCATTGATAAATATATTTTTTAACTCTTGCTTCATTTCTTTCAGGAATTCTAGTTAAATATTTGTGCAAGATGTGTTTTTCCCTGGTGCTTTGCTTCTAGATGTTTTGGACTCATTCTTTTTGTCTAGGTTTGTGTCTTTTGACATCCTTGTAACCATAATAGTTTTTTGTGGTTTTTTTTTTGTTTTCTTATTCTTTCAACCTACTTCCTGACTTCAGACTTGATGTTAAGGCCAAGCTCTGTACATTTCTGGAGGGAAGGTCTGAGCTGGTCTTGCTGCTGCTTTCTTGGAGTACTGAGTGTTTATGTTATTCCAGGCAGTTATGAACAAGTCAGGCTGGAAAACCTGCAAGCTTTCAGTGCTCCCATAGTAGTCTGATTTAGGGTAAAGTCTGATTGCTAATTCTCTGGTATGAGCTCCGCATGTTCCTGACCTGGGTTTAGGTCTGAGCAAAAGTGGACTGCTGCTGGGCTCAGCTTCTCCTACCAGCCTTGGTAAGCCTTGCTGGTTCAGAGTGACAGAA